ATTCGAGACTACCACTTAATCAGATATATAAGATGTGTTCACCCAATTTCGTTTAAGGTGAATAAGAGGTGCATTTCACATTGCCAAGACTGTGTGAAATGCAACGGAAGCATAAGCTGTACTCATGGCATTGAGGGAAAATTCAACTGCCTCTCCTTCTTCACCTAAAACGAAATAGCTGGAGCACAGCTCACATAAAGACAGTGCATAATCCGGCCACTTCATCACTGCCGTTAAATGCAGATGTCATAGACTTACTTTTCTAAAGTTGATTGTCTTTTTCACTAAATGTTTGCCATATTTACAGACTGTGAGTTATATTTGTACTTTTATGACTGACAACACCAGTAAAAATACGGTCCTGACTAAACTCATCAAAAGTTGAAATTTAAAAATGATCAGATGGTTACTGGGCAATTACACGTTCTCTGTCCATGGTTCGTTGAAACTCTTCTTCACGACGCTCCCGATATTGAATTTCGCGCTGCAGACGGTTGTTCATCACCACCAGACGCTCCTGTCGCACACATTCCAATTGCTTAGCGATACGACGCTCGGACTGTGATTGACGCATCAAACTCTCCACCAGGATCATTTCTTCATGTTTCTCCTATATATTCGCATATATATATATAAATGTATGTGTGTGTATGTGTATGTGTGTACGTATACAGTGTGCGTGTGTGTGTTTGTGTGTGTAAATAAGCCGGTAAGTGATTAAAGTAGTAAATAGATACTCAAATATGGTCTACTGCTAAAGCAATATAAAGAAAGAAAAAGATGGATTAATAAACATGTTTGCTTGAAGCTCTTGTTTAAAAAGTAACTTTAAATTTAAAAATTCTTTCTTCTCGTGCTCTTTAGACACAAAACACAACCTGTAAAGCCTCTTTTATTTAGATTTAGGGCTTAGTGCTCTCGACAGAGTGTTTCAATATCGGTTCCTTTACAGTGCACTAAAAGGCTTCATTTCGTTGGCCTTGTATCTCAACTTGGACTAATCCTCCAAAAAGTCATTCTGGCGCTCGAACCTCCGCATGAATGTGACCTGAGTCAGGAAGTAAATGCAACTATTCTTGCAAGCTGGAAAGCCTCGTCTATTTACATTTAGGGCTTGGTGTTCTCGACAGAGTGTTTAAATATCGGTTCTTTTAGAGTGCACTAAAAGACCTCATTTCGTTGGCTTTGTATTTCAACTTGGACTAATCTTCCCAAAGCCATTCTGGCGCTCAAACATCCCCATGAAAGTGACCTAAGTCAGACAGTAAATGCAACTATTCTTGCTAGCGGTTAATCCAAAATGTTAGTACTACAGCATACCCGAAGTACTTTCTGCTCCTCGGTGCAGCGAGTAAGCAGGCGTCGACGCCTTCTAGCGCGTTCTTCTCGTGCCATTCTCTCCTCCATCATCCGTTCACGTATATTTTTCACGTATTCCTCGCTGGCTTCTGGCTGCACCAACAATGTATTGGTCTTTTACATGAGCCGGGGTCAGAAATTGAAGCATGAGAGGTAATGCATCACGTGTAAAGGGAGAAAGACAGAAAAAAATATGGGAAAAAGGCTACGTTTGTTATAGTTTTATACAATATAAAAACATTTATTTTGTGAACTAAACAGTGTAACACGACGGAAAAAATGGAAACCAGACGACTGAAGTATATAGATTAGTTCACAGACCAAAATGAAAGCTTTGACTTTCAAGTAATAGTAGTAAAGTTGGAAATTGTTAATAAATTCATGCATTTAAACTCAATTATGTATGTTGGGATTACTTCCATTTCGAGTAGAAGTGTTGGGTGAAGAGATTCGAAGGTCGGTTCCACCAG